CAACACCGGAACCACGCAGAGATACGACATTCACCAGTGCCAACGAGAAGACTACAAGCACCAGCTTCACCTCCGTGAATAACACCACCACATCGAGTAAGAGGAAAGCGCAATATTCCCACGAACGAACACCTTCTGGGAAGCTTCCGAAGCCTTCAAAGGGCGGTCGAACGATTCCTGTCCTCACTAATCAGTCACGAGATCCCTACTCGATCCCCATATCTCCTCCTGCTTTCTCTCCAATATCGCCTCCCGCGTTCCCGAACCTAGGCCGCTCATCGTTTGGAAGACGAAGAGAGACCACATACGACTCAGACGCGACTTGGGCACCGCCTCGTGAAGAAACTGCAGACGCGGAAACGGTGGTTGATGCGGAAGAGGTCCATCCCGGAGAAGTCGGTAAGTTCTTTACCCTAACAACAACACCGACCATTGAAACTGACCCTTATTAGACTCGCGCATCCAGAACGACATCGCCACATCCAACGCAGACGAGATGCAATACGAGTACGATAACGACGTCAACAACGCCGCCGGCCCATCAGGCACCTACCGAAACCCCCTCAGACAAGACTCCGTCATACCAGACACACAAACGCAAAACGATGCAGTAGACACTATCATCTACCCTTCAAGTGGCCAAATCATCCAAATCGACGATGACACATCAAGTGATGCATACACCGACGCCATAATCCGCTCTCTCATCTCCGACCCCTCCCCCACAACCAGACAAACGCGCATCTACCGTCTCGAACTCTACAGACTCCTTGTCTCCTACCTAAATGGTATCAAGAACTTCGATCCCACCAACTACGACTCCGCTGCCGAAGAACGCATGGACTTTCTGCTCAATCAATTTCACTGCACCGACGCTGATGCCTGGCATTCTGATCACAACGATAGCGCACTTCGCCTGCATCTCGCGTTCGAGAAGTGGATGAGTATGCGTCACCGTCTCGCCGCTTTTCGCAGCGTAACAGGATATTTTGGCCTGCCGGGGAGGCAGTGGGAGGAGTTTCTGAGGGGACTGGAAGATGTGCCGCATGCGGAGGCTATTTTGGCTTTTGTGGATCTGAAGGACGCCGGGGATGGGGAAGAGGGTGCGAGGGTGCTTGGTGATGGGTTTGATAATGATCTTATGATGATGTTTGATGGATTAACGAAGTTTCAGGATTGTAATGGGCCGGAGGCTTTCAAGGGTGTGAGGAAGTTTAATGAGAGGTTGTTGGTGTGGTTTAGGGATGAGTGAATGGGTGGAGGTAGACACAATACAAACCACACAGAAGACGCAACTGAGACGATATATGATGCGCTTGCTAGTTTGAGATTCCTGACTATGAAGTCCTGAGGTCAGGCAAAGGCTTTGGACAACCATGAGGTACATGGACTGATCACACCTGCATAGTTCGGAACGTTGTAGTACCTAGGCACCTAGGCAGTGTAGGATCTCTCGCCCACACAGCTTTGCAGCGACCACGCATTCGCCGTTCGTGATCAAGCTCTCCATGATTGCGACCATTCCTTCTTGCTTCCAGTCAGCCAATAACTACCAGACTTGTCACGACACGCAGCAATCATCCGGCCCAAGGTCCAGCGCTGGCGCGGAGGGCGATTGCTTCGATCGAGCTTTCGAGAATGCACGAGCGGGAAAGTGGGTAGAAACTCAAAGTGACTCGCGAATAGAAGTAGGCGCGGATCTCGTCGCAGAGGAAGCGACATGTCATAGATAGCTCGGTTGGTGCCATTTGGTCGATGTAGGTGATTAGTTGCTCTTGTGGGTGCGCAGTCCGATTCTGCTTAGGTACATGGCGGCAGAGATGTTCGTAGATCTCGTAGCGCAGCTCTTTGGGGAGACGGAGGAGAGGGCTTGAGGGAGTGGATGGAGACATGATGGGTGGTGTGAGAGTAGGCGGGAGATGACGTGGATTGGGTTGAGGGTACGAAGGTCTGTTTAGACAGTTGGATAGAAGATGGTAAGAAGGAGGCAGATTCATGACAGTCAGGTACTTTCAGAAGGTGACATGTGGGTTGGCATCGTGGTACGCCTTGTGATGCATGATGACGTACTACCTGGTGTGCTTTGGGTGATCTGGTTATGGACGAAGAGGTCGGGTTTGCAATATCCCAGAGCCTGACGTTCTCAAGCGGCGTAACCAACAGTAAACTATTGAATGCGTCATTGTCACTAGCAGGCCACAAGTAACTCAAAGAAAGACCACAACATTCGGACAGAAGCATAGAATTGTTACATTTTCCGTCCTTGCTCCAACGCCGTGCGAATGCAAGTCATGTAAAAGAGGCATATTACATATTCCATATCTAACTCCACAGCCTCAGCGTTCCATCCGCACCAGCCGACACACACCACGGCTCTCTAGGATGCCAATCGAGACCCATAACACCCAACCTGCTCTTGACCTTATGCCCGCGCAGTACCTTTAAAGGAACAATTGTAGCGTTCTCCATGAGGTCACCCACAACCTTTCCGTGGAAGATCTGGATAGTGCCGTCGTCGGAAGTATCGGCGAAGAGGGAGAGACCGCCTTGGTGGAAGCGTACTGAGCGGATGGCTTCCTTGTGGAAACGGAGGGTCTTGTAGGGTTTGTTGGAGAGGTCGAGGTCGTGCCAGAGGAGACGCTGGATGGGGAGTTAGTGTATGTTTTATTGATGTGACGATATACGTAGAGCTTACCTTGTCGTATGTTCCGACAATGATGTTGTCACCACCGGGGTGCACGTCGATGGATGAAATCCATTTAGCACCTGGTTGCAGGATCTTGACGAGTTCCTGCTTGGCGAGATCGTAGCTGCGGATGGTGTTGCGGGTGGCGACGAAGAAGATGGCTTTGGAGGGGTGGAATTGGGCGGTTTGCGCGATACCCTTGAGACGGCGGAAGGGTAGTTGGGTGAGATGTTTCGAGACTGTGTGGATGGCTACTGCTGTGCTTTGACCGCGGGGCGATACCGTGGCGAAGTAGTCTCCTCTCCGGTGCCAGTTGACTATCTTGACTGCTGCTCGGACTTCGATTTGGACGAGAACGCCCTTATTCTCCAGACGGAGTCCGGGACGGCTCCACTTGCCTGGTGCTGCTTTAGGTGCCTCGCCGAATGTTGTTGTGGTGGGCTTCGAGGCTGCGTAACCCCAACCGGCGTCGAGAACCTCGCGACTGGCTTGCTCAACGTCCGGTGAAAGAAGTGTGAAGGGTACGATTAGGTAGACGTTCTCGCCGCAAGCAGTAGCTACTACCGATGTCTCCTTGGTGGGTCTCCATTGTACTGCATCCACGGCCTCCTCATCTGACAGCTTTGCGTTCCAGACCTGGCGACCAGTCAATAGCTCCCAGATCCTTACGTAGCCGTCGTCACCCCCACTGGCAACAAAGATACCGTTAGGATCAACCGAAACACAACGAACACGTCCTTCTTGTCCGCGGTATATCGCTGCGCATGTAGTCGGGAAAGGCTTGAGCTCTTCGGGGTTCGGCAGCTTAGGTAGCAGTGATTCAGGGTCGATGTTGAGTCGGTTTCTCCGGATACGGGGAGCCAAGTAGAGATCCAAGCTTCGCTCAAACCGTTCCTTGACGAATGTCTCGTAACCAGGAACCTTGCGCAGGGCATCGTAGTTCTTGGGCAGGAAGTCTGTCTCCCGCTCCTCATCATCTTGTTCCAACCACTTCTGCTCCTCAACCTTATCCGGTAGGTACTCGGGCGGTGGGTGGTAACTCGCTTCGTAGCCAGGCGGTGGCAGCTTGGGTGCTGGGATGTGCATTGTGTTGTCGGGGCGGGGCTTCTCGTCCGCCCATACGTCAAAGGTGAAAACGTCTTGCTCTTCCTCCTGCTCCTCCGGTGCCCTGTATGGCTTGATGCGGCCTTCCCTAATCGCCTTGACGATCTTCATGACGCGCTTCGCCTCGTGCTTGGAGGGAATGAATCGTCGCTTGGGCTCTGGCGCAGCGCTCAGTGGCATGATCTCCGTGTTGACGCCAGAGAAGTACGCGACCATCTCTGGGTATGGATCGTACCCATCCTCCACAATCTCATTCCTTGTGAGCCTCTTGAGTACGTCCAGCTCCTCGGGCGACAGGTTCAGCGGTTTTCCTGTCTGGGGATCCGTCAAGCCTGTCCAACCCTTGGGTATGTCGATACTGTCCAGCAGCGCATCCAGCGCCTCTCCCTTAGCCGGGCGCATGATCTTCTTGCCGTTGATATCGTAGCCAATATGCGGGTATTCATCGTAGTACTTGAGGTCGATGTTGCCGATCGTGTTGGTAGCTTCGGCGTCCGAATCGTCGGATTCGTACACCGGGTCGATCTCTTTGTAGATGTAACGAGTGTTGCCGTGCGCATCGGTGGTGACAGTGTAGTTGGGCTTCAGGTCTTCATCGTCTTCTAGTTCCCCATTTGCGCCACCCACGTCCAGATCCATCTCGTGTGTGGGTACTCCATTCTTCTTGCGCAGTGGAACATCCGAGGTATTCAAGTTGCGCATTTCCTCACGAATCTGCTCTGCATCGCTGTCTTCCTCCTCCTCTTCGTCTTCGTCGGAAAGACCCTCAATCACACTGCTAGCATCGGTATCGGCGCCTTCATCTTGGCTGTCGTCCGAGTCGTCCTCAGAATGCGACAGGATGCCCTCGAGCAGCCCATCGGCCAATTCACCTTCCGAGTCACTGGGCTCAGGCGCCGGGCGCGTCACGACCTTTCTCTTGCGCGGGTTGACTGACATTTTGGGCGTTTGATGTTTCCTCCTCACGTTCACCGCGGACTGTCGCAACTTCCCAAAAATTATCGCTAGCGTCCAAGATTTCGGTTTTAGCGCGTCGCACGTGCCAGGCTGCCATCAGCCAAGCATATCCTCGGAGACTCTACAGCAACTTTATCGCAAACTCCGCAACTCCAACTCTCTGTTTACCCCACGCAATTGCAACCACCACCCGCATCTGCTACGCCAAGACGCCACTCCAGACTGATTGCAGCAGTAATTCCACCGACTCACCATGGCGACGCGCCACTCTGACTACGATCGTAGGCGCCATTCCCCGCGCCGCGACCGCGGAGATCGGGGAGACCGCTATGGCGAAGGCCGCTTCAGAGACGACCGTGACCGCCGAGACCGCCGCGATGACCGTCGAGAGCCTGACCGTCGAGACCGTGACCGCGGCGACACGTACCGTCGTCGTTCGCGCTCCCCGCCTCGCCGCCGCGACCGATCCCGTGACCGAGGAGACCGTGCCGACCGTGGAGACAGCTACAGGCGCGACCGCGACGGTGATAGGGACAGGCGTCGCCGCTCTACTTCCCGCCGCCCTGGTTCCCGTTCATCTGCCACACCTGCACCAGGCTCAGACAGCTGGAGGCGCGATGACGGCAGACGCGACGACAGCAGGCGCGATCGGCTAGATCACTCCTCGCGCGACGACAGGAAGAAAGACCCCGAGACCCAAGCCAAGGACAAGCTTGCAGACCGCGCTGCGAAGCTGGCTGAGTGGAAGAAGCTCAATGCCGAGCGCCTGCTCAAAGAGAAGACCGACACACCTGGATCCGGCGCCTCGCCAGCTGCTACTGCACCTGCAACCCCGTCAGTCACTGCGACGCCCCCGCCAGCTCCGGCATCTGAGGCCAAGCTTGTTGATACCGCTAAGACCAAAGTCATTCCACAGAAGAGTGCTACTGAGAAAGTCAAGCAGAAGCAGCCCGAGAAGTCGACCTTCAGACTGGATGCTTCCGCCGCAGCCCGTCCTCTGGACATGGCCAAGCCTGCAGGCAAGACTGTCACCAACGCTAGCAGTATGTTCATCCCAACCCCTCTTTTCACGAACCACAAGCTTACACGTACAGACGTTCCCATTGTTAAGGGCAATGGTAACATTGGCTCGTTCGGTCTCAAGACTAAGACTGCTGCTGAGACCGAGGAAGAGAATTCCAGAAAGGCATTGCTCGACGAGGAAGGCCCGACCCGCAAGCGCAAGCTACAGGCTCTACCCGAATTCGACGCCAACGAGGCACCTCTGCTCGAAGCCGACGGCGACAACGCGGACTCTCCAATGAGTGACATCGGCAGTGATGACGAGAACAACGCGGAGCTTCAGGCTCGCCTTGAGAAGCGTCGCGCTGAGATCGCCAACGAGAACCAAGAGGACACTGCCATGGAAGAGGCAACTGCTGTCGAAGCCCCTGCCGACGACAAGATGGAAGTTGACGAAAATGCAGGCGCCGAAGAAGATGACGTCGATCCTCTCGATGCCTTCATGGCCGATCTCACTGAGCCACAACCAAGCCGCGGGGCTCCTTCGGGTCAGACTATGTTTGCTGACGAGCTTGAGACTGTCGAGACTTCCGTCGAACATGAGGACCTTAACGAACTTCGCGCTGCCAAGAAAAAGAAGAAGAAGGAGGTGCCTACCGTCAACCACGATAAAGTTGAGTACGAACCGTTTAGGAAAGACTTCTACACTGAGCCCTCCGAAGTTGCACAGATGACACCTGAGGAGGTCGCAGATCTTCGCCACGAGCTCGACGGCATCAAAGTCAAGCCTGATGACGTTCCCCGTCCTGTCACCAAGTGGGCGCAGATGGGTCTGCTGCAAGCTACCATGGACGTCTTCACCAAGATCGGCTACGAGAGGCCTACAGGTATCCAGTCTCAAGGTGTACCCGCAATTCTCTCTGGCCGAGATCTCATCGGAGTCGCCAAGACCGGTTCTGGGAAGACACTTGCATTCGGTATCCCCATGATTCGTCATGTCCTTGATCAACGCCCACTGAAACCAACTGACGGGCCTATCGGACTGATTCTCGCCCCAACCCGAGAGCTAGCACTGCAGATTGTCAACGAGCTCAAGCCATTCCTTGCAGCATCGGGTGTTACCATCAAGTGTGCCTATGGTGGTCAGCCCATCTCTGAACAAATTGCTATGATCAAGCGTGGTGGCATCCACATCCTATGTGCAACTCCTGGCAGAATGATTGATCTGACCAACGTCAACCAAGGACGAGTGCTTTCTTTCCGCCGCATCACTTACGTTGTCCTTGATGAAGCTGATCGCATGTTCGATATGGGCTTCGAGCCTCAAGTCATGAAGATTCTTGCGAATGTACGTCCTGATCGCCAAACTGTCCTCTTCTCAGCAACTATGCCCAAGAACATGCAATCTTTGGCTCGCAAAGCACTGCACAACCCAGCCGAGATTACCATCGGTGGTAAGAGCAAGGTAGCTCCCGAGATCACTCAGATCATCTCTGTTGTACCGAACAGTTATGAGAAGAAGATCAACAAGACTCTACTGTATCTTGGTCAGTTGTTCTCTGAAGACGAGAATGCCCAGGTATTGATCTTCACTGAGCGGCAAGAGACAGCCGAAGATCTCCTGTCCAAGCTTTACAAGTCTAAGTATTTCTCCGTCAACACGATTCACGGAGCTAAAGATCAGACTGATCGTAACGAAGCGATCAACGACTTCAAGCAAGGTGTTCTTTCGATTCTCATTGCCACATCTGTAGCCGCCCGTGGACTTGATGTCCCCGGACTGGCTATGGTCTTGAACTTTGATTCACCAACCCATTTAGAAGATTACGTGCACCGCTGCGGACGTACCGGCCGTGCTGGCAACAAAGGTACCGCTGTTACGCTTATCGAGAACCCCGGTCAAGAGCGCTTCGCTCTTCACATCGTCAAGGCACTCAAGGAGAGCGGTACAGAAGTGCCTCCAGAGCTCCAGGAGATGGCTAACACATTCCATGAGAAGGCCAAGGCAGGTACCGAGAAGTACTATGGCGGTTTCGGCGGCAAGGGCCTCGATAAGCTGGATGCAGCACGCGCACTCGAGAAGAAGCGCGAGAAGCGTCAACTCAAGCTGGAAGGCGTTGACGAGAGTGAAGACGAGGAAGAGATTGCACCACTCATCAAGAAGCCCGAGGTCGCTGGCCCCGCTGGTGTTGTTAACGCTTCTGGTCCTGCTGCAGCTGCCGAAGAAGATCAACCACACTGGATGAAGCTGCTGAACAGCAAGATTGTGGTCAGCAAGACTGAGCGCCCCGACGCAGCCGCTTCTGGCAAGCCGATGACCGCGCGCGAGCGAGCCATGGCCGCTGCTTCCAAGGTCGACGGCAGGCTGAGCAAGAAGGGTATGATCCACGCGGGTCAGCCCATCGATAACAAGGGCCCCGATGCTGGTCTCTACCACTCAACCATCGAGATCAACGACTTTCCTCAGAAGGCTCGATGGGCCGTCACCAACCGCACCAACGTCGCCAAGATTCTGGAGCAGACTGGTGTTTCCATCACGACCAAGGGCAACTACTACCCCTCTCCCAAGCAGCCTGGTGAGAATGATCTACCCAAGTTGTACATTCTCGTCGAGGGTGACACCGAGAACATTGTCACTCAGGCTATGATGGAGCTTACTCGTCTTCTGCGCGAGGGAACCATTGCGGCTGAAGATGCCTCCGCGACTCGTGGTCCTACCGGCCGTTACAGTGTGGTTTGAGAAGTTTTACTTCCGTAAGGTATGCTCGATTTTCTCTCTTTCATTTCAGCGTTGCTTTCTCAGCGTTGCTTTCTTTTCCATGGCGTCAGTTCACTGCATTGGGAGGAATGGTCAAATGGATGGATGGGAAGGGCATTGGACGGAGTTGAAGGTTTCGACAAAACACGATCGTGCTTCGATGCATGCCGCGCGGCTGTACCAAAACGTAAGTTCTCACCCAATTGCTCCATTCAGAAGTTTCGTTGATTTACCCAACCGTCGCAGGTTTCTACTCGGTCACTGAGCCGCTGTCAGGCAACGAAATCACTGTACATTAATGGGCTTGGCAACACGGTTCGCTGATATGCGATGTGCGGGAAGGGGAGTGGAGGCTTGACTCTGGTAGTTCTGGTAAAATATGTCTGGTGCGAAGGAGTGAGGTCTTGACTCTGGTGCTTTCCATGCAGCCTGATATGGCACGAGAGTGTAGCTTAAGATAGCCTTCTGTATGAGAGGCATTTTTGTCTACCACATGAATTTCTTCGCGTGTTCCTAACCCACCATACCTCGCGCTGCATACTCCAACTTGCCTGGCGGCACTGACTCCCGATCTCCGGAGACGTGACACTGCATCGCGACCTCATAGCGGGCCTCTTCGCCGATCCTATATACTTCATCAATAAATCTCAACTCAACATCATGTTCTGCGCGACAATCAATATATGCAGATGCGAACCGACATTCGTTCATTCCTCAGACCCAAATGCGTGGTGTACGACTACGCCGTATTGCCCTGAACACTGATGACGCAGCTCTACAGGACCCACGCCGCACCGCACTGACGCCATATCGCCTCTCAGGCTGCAGCTGCAGCTGCATCATCTGAAAAACCCTCCTCGGGGGTATATCCATCGGAATATGTATGTGTAGGTGTAATGGCGCCATAGCTGCATGTCGCATATTGCATACTGCATCTCCCGCTCCCTCTCTCATCCTCCCCTCCATCCTTCATCCTCCATCCGCCGAACCTCACGCCGCAACACTGCATATCTCCTTCGCGTGCATCTCCGCCTATTTTAGGCCCGGCGTCCAGGACCACCTGCAGGGTCGATACATGTCTTAACGAGGAGCGAAAAGCGAACCTGGACTATTCTGTTGATGATGCAGATGCAGGTGTAAGGCGCGTACGTGCGTGCGTGCGTGCTCGCTCGCAGAAAAGACGCACAGCACAGCCCTGCCGCCCCCAAACGCCACTCGCTCCAGCTGGATCTGGAGATCCCTTCGTCTCGGATGCGGCTCGGCGAACCCAGGTTCAGGGCGGGTTTTACAGAATGGGGGTGTAGTGGTGGAGGGTGCATGGCGAAGGATGCACGCGGTAGGGTAGGTCTGCGGAAGGACGTTCCGCGGGGTTTGGTTGGTTGGTAGGGTTCTCGTTGGAGAGGGTGGGGACTTGGTGAAGGGTAGGTGGGGTGAGGTTTGCGGTCAATCTTTCATGTATTGGACTGATTTTTGGTCGCTGAAGAGGTCGAAGGAATTGTTTCTGGTTAAGGAAGCGGTCGGAGGAAGTGTAGTAGGTTGATTAGCTGAGGCGTTGGAGGTATCCTTGCGCAATTAGGCGTTCGACGTCGCCTTGCCGGACGTAGAATTGGGAGTTTTTGGTAAGGGTTATTGAGCTGTGACGTCGGTTAGCTGTACCGACTAGTATACAATGTTTCGGATGCGGAAGAAAGGGTCGTAGGCTTCGGCATGCCGAGATGGCGGTCACGTACCCGTACTCTGTTTGGATCTCTCCTGCGTCCTTCAAGACGCGCACGTCGATGAAGAGATCGCGCGGCGGCTCCAGACTCCCCGTTAAATCGATATCCGTCCATTGCCCCTTGTACGCAGCAAGTAAATCGCTGTATTGCCTCACATACTCCTCCTCTTCAGGACTGAGACTACTCTCTTCTTTCCCGCCTCCAGCGCCCATTCCACTGCCCCTCCCCCCTTCTCCGCTATGGTCCTTGCTGCCCTGTTGTTCCAGCACGTCGACGCCCTCCCAGCAGTATTCTTCGAGCTTGTCGCTCCGCACGCGGTGGTAGGCGAGTAGACAGCGCTTGTTCCGGCGCATGCAGAGGTGGTTTACGAGGAGGGCGCAGGCGGTTTCGGGGGATGCGCTGGGGTTGAAAGACCCGCTGTAGGGGGCGAGGATGGATGAAACGTCTTTGTCGAGGTCGCGCACTTCGCGTACTATGGAGCGTGTGAGCTCTGAGGCGTAGGGTGGGAGATGGGGGAGGGCGAGGGTGCGTTTGGCGTTTTGGACCTGGAGGTGTTAGAGGAGCTGTATAGTAGCGGGATAAGGATAATGCAGTTTTACCAACTTATTGGCCGCTTCTCCATACATGGCTGTGATTTGATGTGTGTTCGTGTTCGTGTCCTGGATCCCTGAACGTCTTTCTTTGGTGGTACAGAGATGTGACGATCAAGCAAACGCGACTGTCACTGCAATTTGCAGGTAAGATGCGTAGAAGTTGTAAGCTACTCTGAATAGAAAGATCGCTGTGAGTTTAACTGTGCAGCTTGTTATTTGAAGATGTACTAAAGATTGAATGGTTCAAGCGAGAGCAATCGGCGCATGCGATGTAACAGTAACATTTGTTGGACCCTCCGAAGGCAGGCGCGTTCCTGACGCGGGGGCAGGTGGGGCGGGGACGGGTCTTGGCTTGTCGAGTCCAACTTCAAACCTCTTCTGGCAATCCCTTTCACAACGCCAGCAATCCCCGCAACCTCATTCGCCAGCATCGCCAAACTCTCGGCTGGCATCATGTATGCTATCACACACACGGAAAGATGGATCGGTAATACGCACGATGAACACGACATCACGTCAGCGTCGCGTCGAGAGAAGAGCGAAGGAAGATTGACCTAATATGTACATCTCGATCTACGCATGCGATAACACCATGTCTAAATGCTCTAAGCCCCCGAGCTTTTGGTCCGATCAACGCCTTGTATGCTGCCCACCATGGAAGCGCTCATCAGAAACCACCCAACGATGCTGAAAAGAACGGTAATAGCTGTGAACGACGTCGCACGTAAGCGTAAGAGCAACATAACCACCCAGAATGCACTAGCTAACGTGATATAGATCACTGCTCACCCATCCACTTATCAAACTCCGACTCTTGTTCGAGCGACACCATAGTCGGGTCTGACTGCCAAGCTTGGTATTCATCATGCGGAAGATCCAACAAGCCATCAAGGTTGTGTTGCTCAAGCCTATCCTCTTGCATGTCCGGATGAGGATTCCGGTATACGGCGTTCTGCAGCGCTGAAGGGTCGATGTCTGAATGACTTCCTCCGTCGTAAGCCAACAGCAATGGATCCAGCTGCCCCTCGTCGAATGATGAACTCATGTTCGGGTGTAGCTGTTGCAGAAGATCGTTCGCATTACCTCCAGGCAATCCCAGCATTGATGGATTCGAGTGGAACTGCATGGAAGAGGATGGCGTGTCTACCCTCCTCATATGCATGTCGTCTGCGTAGGTCGGACTGATCTGCATATTCGGGTAGGCGGCAGTCTGGTAGTACTGATTGTAGAGCTCGTTGTGGCTTATCGGCATCGGCATCGGTCGCCCTTCGTTTGTCATCTCCCAGGACGATCGGTTGATACCATTACCATTCGGTCCGAACGACTGATCGAAGTACTCTACAGCAACACCATTTGACGGGTAGCTAAATGATCGATCGATTCTCCTGGCCTGTCGAGGACGAGACCTGCCACCACCGGGAGCCCATTCGGCATCGTCAAGGTCGCTAGGTTCTTCTTCGTCGGACCACTCACTTCTTCGCTTACGAGCCGGCGCTGCTGTCTTGCTAGGCGAGAACTTGTACGTCGGGTGTGCGTTTTGGTGGTTGATCCTCTCGATCTTTGCGTACTCGTTGTATAGCTCGCGAATCTCCGGCGGCTCCAGCGGCCAGCTCTCCCCCGCTACGGACGATACGACTTGATGATTGTTTTGAAGACACCATGACTTGGCCCTTTCCGCAAACGCCGACCGGTACAGCATGAACGAGTTCATGGGACGAGTGATGTATCCATTCCTCTTCTCAACTTCGCGTCTCCTGACATCCGCTGGCCTGTTCACCCATTCCTCCATATTCTTGACCGGGATATGATGCAGCTCCTTCGTCAGTATGCTCAACGGCGCAGTAAGCTTGGGCGTCTTGTGCTTCTCGTTCTTCGGTGCTTTCGGCTTCTTCACTCTCGGTGTCGCTTTCCGTCTAGGGCTGATCTCATTCAGGCGTGGAGAACTGGACGATGTTGTTGCTCGTCCGCTTCGAGTTGTCCTGCGTCCGGAATCCTCATCGTTCGCGGATCTTGGTGTCGGTGGCGAGAACAAGGCTTGCTCGTTCTATCATCTATTAGCAATCGGGTCAGAAGCAACCGGCGACATTACCTACCTGCATGCCGTTATACGGCCCGTTCTGGTAATACTCCGCTGGTGGACCATATCCCTCCTGTACCTCGATCAGCATGGTTACATGTGTGAAGACGCAGGGACTCTTACATATTGTATACCTAGTCCGAGCCCACGAGGATGGTTGTCGGCATGTGACGCATGTGAAGGGATCCCTTCGTGCGCCACCGAGCCTGGCGAGCCGTACCCTGTCTCACCGAACGAATAGCCGCGATCGACGCCATATTGCGCAACTGGATGCAGCCCGGACTGGTAATCTGACCCAGCATTCGGTGGGGTCGGAGGATGTTGTTGGACGAGCGTGTCACCCCTCATCATGGCGAGTGTTGACGCACAAGTTAGTTGCTGCGACAGTGGAGATTGCGGACTGCCGATTGGCCTTGTTTTCGGACTCAACGCAACGCTTAAGCGATGGAGATCGATAGTTGAACAGAGCAAGCGCAACTGCAATTGATGGAATGACTCTTCTGTTGGTCAAAGGCCGTGCAACATGAAGACCGAAGGATTTTGTTGCTGGTGGATACCGAGATGCGTTCGTTGGTCTCTCGAGAAGATGCTGGATCAGACTGTTCTGTTCCAGATATTGTACTGGATATGTGTCAGTACGTCCAGCGAATGCGTCGCTCTTTGCTGGGTTTGCTTCACCGCAATGATGCATAGCAGTTCGCAAAGTGTTCAGGGAACGAACCTGTTGCAGTTACCCGCTTCTCACCGGCACCAAGGCTTTGGTGCAGAGACAATCAGCGTGGACGACTATGCGATACCAACTTGCAAGTCAGACACCGCCGTACTGTTTGAGTTGTGTTGTTCCGGCCCGTGTCTCTTTGTGGCGAAGGCAGAGCTCGAGCAAAGTGTGAAGGGCAAATCAACGGAGAAGGATTCTTTGTCCGGGATCAGTCGCCAGAAGGTATTTGTAGCGACTACACAACCTCGAGGTCGACTGCTCACGTATGTGTATAGTGTACTTAGTCGTCTGAACATGGACAAAGGCACTACCGGATTGGTGTTGGCTGGGCGCGCTTGACACACTCAGACGTCGCGCTGCTTTTGGCCTGCGAACCTCTCAAGCGATGAACTACCTGTGAAATGGCGCAAGACCTAGCCTTCTGGTCCGTTCACGTTTCGAAGTCGAAAATATCATGTCCGTCCTGTTGTGGGGTTGAAAGCGGCCCTCAGCCCCTCCACATCGACAGCTATAGACGGAAGCTACTCTCAATCTAGGCGCCCTTCCTTTCAAATCGCCTACCCCAAGAAGCTGTCTACCAATCTTAGCAGGGGTGTACTATGGCTTGCAGCAGTCATGTGCACTGGGCGCTCGCTATAGCAAGCCACACGCTCACTGGTATCTTTAGCCTCCAGAACGACCCCTGAAGTTATGTTCCGCCAGAACATGGGCTGCATTCCTGCACCAATTGCATCACCGGGGGCTCGCGGTCCCCTTTCCCAGCAACCAATGACATAGATGGTACATGACCAGAAATCTTCCCAAGGCCGAACGTGGTTGGTCGACCAAAAATTGGGTTCTTTCGCTACGTAGTCAAGCCTGACGTGCTGTTCACGGATGGCTGCAGCCTTCTATGTCAGAACCCTGACAGCTGGTCATACTTGGCAGGGCTGACCACGACACAACGAATTCTAACATCCACACCGCACATCAAAATGCAACTACACAGTCAATCTACAGGCGGCGACAAACTAAGCACATCTCAAACACTCGATCTCAAACACATTATCATGATTTTGCTGTCGCCGGACAAAGGGTAGGGTCGGTACGGCAATCCCGACAGGCTGGTCACGATGCGCCCCCGCGGCGAGGTTCAGGTCTGTGTTGACCGCTCAAGCTCAGAATAATTCCGTCCATCTTGCCTCTCGGCTATTGAACCCAACATGCTGCAGCGACGACATTTGCGGTAAGCCCGTCACCGTCAACAGGCACTCAAAGTCCTTCGGTGACAGGCCGCGGACATCTGGGCAAGGTCCTGCATATTGCATGCATACAGCAAAAGTTCGGTTGCTTCCGGTCGATCGTGTTGACATGGGGACCTGCCTTTGGAATGCGTACTATCGCCGTTTCGGCACCACGACCAAACAGTTACAGCCTTGTGCGACCAGGTTTGGCTGAGCCTCAAAGACGATAGTGATTGGTTCGAGCAAGCGCGAAACAAAAGTGGAGACCACTGTCTGGAGTATTGCTTTGAACCAGGAGGCTTGAATGAGTTTGTACTGTTTGAGCATGCTTCTCTGACCGGTCCACCCAGAAATGAACGCAAACGGACTATCACCATGCCAAAGGTGCTCTGGCAGTATCGTGAAGGACTACACCAGGACGCATGATCGGTATTCATGGTGGGTACAGCATTGTCGACTGGAGCTACTCGTAGTCACAGGTGTCGAGAGCATCATCTGCGCACGTGTGTGTGATCGACGCCGTAGCTGTCAATGTCTGCCTCCACTGACCCAACTTCTGGATTACCTAGATAGGCTATATCTCCGTTACCTTCGCCAGCTATCGCAATTGCAAGAAACCATTTCCGCAATCTGCCATACGGTGATCCCGTCGGCGGGCTAGAGAGATAGGATCCGCTGGTTCTACCCGTCATCGACCCGGATGTTCTCGGTCACAGACCTCCCCGCGCCTCCTTCCACTGTTCACAACGACTATCTCCACCTAAAACGCTCGGTACCTTGCAATAACTGTAAACCAAGAGATGTTGTGCTACCATTCCGCGGACGCTAAGAGTCAATGTCAGCCCCCATTTTGCTGGAAGGGTTTGGCGGTTGAGCGGTCTACCCCACTTCCCAGCATTGTTACCATGGGACGAGCTTCTGGCACGGGAATTCCGTCAATAGTGTGATCGAAACCACCAATATCATTGCGCTCGAAGCAAGCTACGCTCAAGCTTCGGCCCTTTTCTGCTCACAGCACGACAAGTGCCGCGCCACCGGCACACTCGCGTTGAGGATGCAGTTGCATGACATCTTGCACGCTGGAGTTGCCTAGTCACCTCAGGTATACACGCCTCCGGTACCAGGAAGCTGGCGCTGGTACGCTAGTATGCGCTCTTGCAGTAGTCCAACGGCCGCAGTTCGATCCAGCAACTATGCCGCGAGGTACCCATATACCGATTGATGCTTGGTACGGCTCTCATGCAAGTATCGCACGATTTGCCCGACATTCTTCAATGTACCTTGATGAAAACTTACCCGTTCCAGAATGATCAGAAGACACGGCACAGTGGCACAGTCGACGAAGCTCCCGGCAAAAGCTTACGATATATCTATGGCGTCCAGGCAATATCCCAGCATGCCGCTCAGTAACGGGACGCCTCTGTCGCTTCTGGCGCGAAGGCGCTTATCTCGCGTAGTTTTGCCGGCTAAAGTAGGTGTAAGGTATATGACGAGTAGCGCACCAGCATCAGGGCAGCACTTGTCACACAACAACACGTGCAAGATCGGGGCTTCCGCTCGATCATCGCTTTCCAACGGTGGATTAAGGTCGTTGTAGACTGAGCGCCACCGTCAGCCTGGACATTCGCCTCTTGCTTTACCCCTCATTTCACGTCAAGCCGCCTGAATCCTTCTCCATTCCATTCGGCTAAAACGTCAGCGTCGCTCACCACTCCACTCACCTTATCTCCTTGCTGAACCGATGCGGCTTAAAGATGACATGGGTCTTTCCTCAACCAGCTAGCATCGTGTTACGCCACCCCATGGAGTCGGTACACGCTAGCACGTGATGTCACTAACGCTGCGCTCCTGTCGCTTACCCCAGTCGCTGGTCGACGCCCATCCACAACGGCTGCCAGCCTGGATGTGGGAAATGCTGAATCCTGTAGGGGTGGCGAAAGTGCATGTTCGCATTAGCTCGCATCTTTTTGCCCAACGTACGTTCGTTGAGTTATCTAACTTTGCATCACATTGCGCGAATGCGCGCGATATGGGATGGCTGTTTCTAGTGCAGAGGAAGGTCAGGGTATCCTCGCAGTACAAGGTGCCAGACTGCCAGTCATGCTGCGCACACTTGATTCAGTGGTTGTTCCTTCAATCACAGCTGTGAGGTCGACAACCATTACCTCGCGTTTCTGCTGATACCAATTGCGTGCAATTCTCACAGTAGCAACATTGACAAAGAGAGTACACTTTTCCTCCGTGAAAAGTCGAAACAGTGTCTCGTCAAATTTCACTATGTCGCTGAGATGGTTCACCTCGTTCACGGCGTCATTTAGACATTAGCTCCTCGATGCGGTACGAGGAGCGCTGTGATGTGCAAAACCTCTGATAAGACAATGGAGGGATCAATCAATGAGACAAGCATGTAGAATAACCATTCATGTAACTAACGGAAAAGTTTGTTTGTACCAATGATTTATATCGCGATATCATATGAACCGCGCAAACGTGCCATTGAACACGACTCAGAGAAACAGTACTAAATTAAACGCGAGTTGACTGACATAAACCCGCATCATGAACGAGGCCAAATCAATATCGTCCCCTGATCACGAAGCTGCGTCTCCGAAGTCTTCAGGTGAAGAGCAGCAAGGCACAGTCAGACCCGTAACACGAACGAATGCTTCTTCTTTCGCCGCCCCGACTAGGGCGTCTGAAGCGAAGAAGAACGAGAAAATTGAACTTGCTCAGTATGGGAAGAGGGGGGCGTCGGCAAGAGAACCGTCTAGCCGGCCTGGTAGTGCGATGCGGCAGTATTCGTCTCCGGGGTTTGGTAGTAGACCGCAAAGTCGTCAGCGGTGGGGGGCTGGTACGCCCATGCGGGATGGAGATGATGATGACGTTGACATTGATCAGAAGGATGCATATGACGACGAGGCACACGTCGATGATGACGACTCTAGTCAATTTGATAGCGATGTGGAAGATGAAGGATGCGGAGAGGAAGAAAAGGAAGAAGAAGCAGCGCCTATCCTGGAAGGGAAGGAGTCGGAAGAGAATCCGCTAGAAAAGGAGGACCCCGAGGGAAACAAGCTAGAAGAGCAAGAGCTCGAAAAGCAAGCACAAGAGCAAGAACCAGAGCCTGAAGAAGAGCTGACAACACAGGAACAAGAGCAATCGTATGACTTAGAAGATCTGTTGGCCCAGGAAGAGCCACAGGAGCATCGCGATGAGGATTCCAGTCCTGATGTTCAGGAACTACAACAGAGGGAATCACCCTTGACGCAAGACGATGTGGCTCCAGTGTCACAAGAAGATCACGTTGAGAATGTGGAAAACCAGGCCGCGGCACCTCAAGACCAGACTGAAAGCGCACCGCCGCATGGTAATGAGGAAAAACCTATCGTTCCGCCCGAGATCGTTGCAGAGATACAAGAGCTCCAGATCAAACGTCAAAAGGTGGAGGAAGAGCGCGACGAGGCGATGAGACAGCGTGAAACCGTATTACAAGAGTTGCAAACCGTCAAAGAAGAAGCGACGAACCTGAAGCAAGAGTACGAAAAGCTATCTATCCAACTTCGTGAGAGCGAAGCCAAGATCGCAGCGCGCAATGCACGCGAGCCCGGATTACCTCCTCTCGAAGAGGTCGAAGCGGAGAACAAGAAGCTTCGAGCATCGGTCGAGCGGACGCGGTTAGAACTTCAGGCGAAGAAAACAGAGGCAGAAGATGCGACTGCTGCCTGCAAGTCGTTTGATGACTCACTGAGGGAAGTGGACGAGAAGCTAAGGAATAACCAAGAGTCTATCCGTACGCTCTGTGAAGTTGTCAACCAAGTGGCCGAGAACCTGCCAATGATCTCAAAATGCGAGACCAAAGAGCTCGATGCAGTTTTCTTGAGTCTTTCGCAGGATGATGAGACTGGAAAGCTGCGAGGTGAGTTTCTCAAACTGATCAAGAACTTCAATGGCAACTTTAAAGAGTTGCGGGAGCAGATCGAAGACTTGGAGCGGGAGTTAGCGGAGAAAGAATACGAGATTAATAGTTTGGGAAAGACCATCGAAATCGAGAGGAAGGGGTTGTTAAGCCCCGGTCTACCAAGTCCGCATCCCATGCAAACTGGTAAGAATGAATGGGAACAGTACTACGAACGGGAAAAAAAGAAGCGCCGTGATGCAGAGTCGGAGCTCGCCAAAGCAAAGAAACAGCTGTTACAACTCCAGCCCGAGAATGAAAGACTACAATCAGACCTTATCAAAGCGGAAGAAGAGCTCGCAGAGTTGCGGCCCAAGAACGATCAGTTGGAAATGGAGGCCAAAACCTGGAAGGAAGAACTTGAAGAAAACAAGGCCCAATTCGAACAATGCAGTCTCGCATTCGAAGCTAACATGTCCGAGCAGCAGCTGGAGAACTTCCGATACATCAGAGACTACTACCAAAAAGTCAAAGATCACGCTCACTGGGAAGTCCAAGGCCTCCAACAAAAGCTCTCAGTAGCAGACCAAGTAAGGGACGCACTCAAACGGGACTACAAACGCGAACAAGGCGTCAACATGCGCTTGGAGGACGCGGTGGTTAGACTGAGGAAGAGCGTCAAAGCCCGGGATATCCATATCGGAAAGACAGAACAGGCGTTCATGCAACAAGCACCGTTCCCTATCCGTTCACCAAGTACCTCTGGTAGCCGCACACCTGATAGCGATACCTCGTCGTCTACTTCACCTTCTTTGATCTCGGACTGGACTCATCCGCTCGAACGCGTCAAGAGGCCTCCGCTCATCCCCCGCTGCCACCTCCCCGCCGCGATTCAAGCGCGCGAAGCCAGACTAGATACCTATAAACGAGAACTTGAGGAAGCGCGAGAGGTAGAGATCTTCAAGGCCAACGTGAAGCCACGCGCATCGACAGCCAGGGGCGGAACTATTGCGACCGATATTATGGAAGAAGTGCGGAAATCGAGCATGGGGCCTCTGTTTCCGGTTGAAAAGACGGGGTGGGCGGATTCGAGCTGGAAAAGTGCGTGGGAGAGGTGGGATGGGGATTACTGGGCGAGGGAGTTTGCGAAGGGGAATCAAGTGGATTTCTTGAGGAAGGTAGGGGTTTGGCGGAGGGATTGGGATTAGTCGTGTATGTTTTGAGGTCGTGATGAGAATAGATACTATTCGTTTCCACACGCTACGGTAGTAGCAGGTTCGTAGTGACTAGATGTGGACTTAGATTGACCCTGTCGTGATATTAGCGTTAGCTTCATCGTGAGAACCGTGCCCGCACCGCGAACCAAAACACCATACCTACCTACCAAATAGTCCGAGCACATCTGTGATGCAGCGCACGCTCGTATGCGCTTCCGGAGAAACCACATGCGATTCATGACTGACTCCCACACCTTCCCTCCTCCTTCCTATCGCGGTATCCCAACGCCCAACACGGTCCCTCCTTAGCTCGAAAAGAAAACCACAAACCTATTAAATCACCCATCCATCCCTTCCTTCTTCACCCATCAAGCCACATTCCCCATCTGGAATCCACACTTCACCTCCAAACTGCCCTTTCGGGAACATCTTCTCTAACATACTTTGGTACATGCGCTTTGGTACCGCAGCATTTGCGCTGGCACGACCGGGACCGGGCGGTCCATGATCTGACCCCGAAAAGCAAGCCGAAACTCAAAACAAATCATGTTGCAAGCTCCAAACTCTCGTAGGTGGGACGCCTGAACTACATTCTACGGTTGTAATGTTGTATTGCCTATTCGGGCTGTTTTGTGTTTAAACGGAGCCGGTGGGTGCTGGGAGAAGGTTTGTAGTCTGGAACAGTCTTCAGCCTTGTCTTACTTAGTGCGTAGGCGAGTAATTCTCCTCAAGCCTTCTGGAATCTATGGGGTGTGCAATATTTCCTGTTACGGTAGGTTGGAGTTTGGTAGGGGCGTGGGGAGCGAGGTATTTAGGATTAGGAGATGGATCCAAGGTTCGGAGTGTTTGCGCGGGATGGGAGGGAGGCGGAGGTCTCTAGGAGTAGAACAGAATGCGGGATGCGCTGTGTGCATCTCGCATGCTCTGTATGCTGCGATATCCTAGACGTGGATGTACGACCTCGATCCTGCTAGTCCATCGTGCCCATTTGCAATAAGGGCATCGTATGCGTTGGACGCGTTGCTCTCCGTCAGGATATGTCCTACTTCACGGTTCAGCATTCATGTGCGTCGCGTGACATCTTCGACCCAGACTCAGCTCTCGACCCCCTTTGCTTTTTCGGCGACGTGTCCAGTCGCCCGCCGTCATCGACACCTTTCCAAGCTTCCTTCATTCTTTCCCATCTCGGCATCTATGACTGCCTCGCTACCAAACTCCCTCAACCCCTTAACCAGACTCCTCTTGCTTCCAGACCCGGCTATTCGATCCAAGGCCGTCTTCTTCTGGTTCGTGGATCTTTTCCCGATAGCGGGATCTACTATCATCAATGGTTTTCTTGTTTCCTTTCCTCTTGCGGTAGATTTTGACCGTTGGATGGGCGGTGGCTAGGCGGGATGGGGGATGGGCGGGGAGAGGGTACCACGGGCCGGAGTCTGGCAGCCGTTGACTGGAATCGATGGTTTATGGTGGGCTTTCCTGTTTGGGAAGTGTGCGGGAGGCGCTGACTTGGGGAGCTGTATGTGCGGTAGTTGTTAGATTGAGCGATACGAGGTTTACTACCGGAGATGGAGTCAAGCCCTGAAGGCGTATATGACGGTCGCCTCGCACACGAATTATCGGCGTGTGCTTGTTACTCAAGATGCTGCAGCTACTTGATGACTCCAGGGCTGTGTTCCGTGGGGTGCCGAAGCACGATGCTCGAGCCTCGTGGTGTTGCGAGCCATTGGGAAGCGAAGGTAGCTACGCGTCCACCGTCGCAGCAACATAGCTAGACAGCTAGGTAGATTTCGCTAAAGAACTTGGAGATGCGGAGTGACAGCTGCATGCCACATCTTCCATACATCCAGGTGCTCAGCCTCGATCGCACTCGTACACAATCTCAGCCGCCTTACCCAAACATCACCAATAGAACAAGACCACTTTCTCCGATGCCACGAAAGCAGTAACACGCATGGGAAACAAGTAAACCCGACTTCCCAAACCAGCGCACAGCCATGTGCCGCGGTATCCATGTTAGCTTCGCAATGACGTAGCGACTGCGCGGATGCTTGCGCAAATCCCGCCAGGAACATCGCTATTGCATCACCGCGACCCACGTCTCAACCCTTCCTCTCAGTCCTTTCACGAAACAACATTTTTGCTTGCAACTCCTTTCTATAACGCATCGAGAAACGAACGAAATTACCTCAATTGACATCACGAGACCTCTTTCAATATGGATGTAAGTGTGGAGCTGTTGTGTGTGGGAAGGGTTGATGGGTGTTTGCGTAGTGGACGAATGCTGATGATGGGTATTAGGTCTACTACTTCTACTCCTACGGCACTGCCGCATGGCTCGGTAAGCTCTATGTCCTTCCGTGAGGGTATCGCACAGCTTGCTAATACAAACACAGCGACCCAAGCCGCGCCTCTGATCGCGTCCCCAACCATGATAGTAGCATTGTTGTCCCCCGAAGTCCGCGAAGCTTCCAGTACGTATGCACGAAAGACCAGGAAACATGTCAAACGATGAGGTGCTAACGAGGATGATCAGCTCTCGAAGTCTACTTCTCCCGTACCCTGGGCCTCTCGCTCATCGCCCTGGGTATCCTGACTGTTCTCCTCACGGGGTCTGTTCCGTTGTCTAGTCGACTCTCTGAAGGTACTTTCCCCTCCCCATCCCCATCCTACCACCTCCGTACACTGGCCTAACACCCCCTAGGCGCAACCACCAACGAGGAAGACCCGAAAGCACCCTACGCCCTCCCCACGCTTACCGTAACCGCCATGTTCCACTCCGCCCTCGCCTTCTACGGCTACGCCATGTGGACGCGCACCGGCGTCATGGCCTTCAGCTTGGGCACACTAGGTTCTGGTTTCCTGGCCATCGTGGCACTGTGGTGCATTTTGTTTGCGAGCAGCAATGGACGGATTAGCAGGAAGACTGGCGCGGATAAGAGGACGTCAGGTTTCCCGTTCAAGAACGCTGAGGCGGAGAAGAAGAAGGGTAGGTAGATGCTTACCATCTATCTGTGGAGCCTTTGCCGGCTTCGAGAAGTCATACGGCATACTGCGGGCGGGCGGAAGGGGCATGGAAGGTATGTCTGCAACGGCGAATAGGCATACAATGGGAGTTATGCCGGAGCAAGGCATGGAAAACTGGCATTGGGAAATTGTCAGACACGATTTATTGGGATGGAAGCTGTATACTATGGAAGCATTGAATGAATTGGTATCTTTAAACCTTGAATGTACCCAAAGACCCGTGAACACCCAGGTTTCTATCCCATAGTAATACACAAGTACTATTGAAAAACAAGAGGGCATGGCGCCGACATCTCCCTCAACACCAGAGCTACGCACTTGTCCGCCGCCTCATCGCAGCCACGCTCTATCATACCAACACTGCCACTCACCCATGAGCATAACGCCTCCGGGGCGGGCCCCTGTAATTCAACTGCTCCTCCACCGCAAGACAGCGGTCACGCCAATGAACGGCCTCCGCATCCAACCACGCAGCACGCTCCGCTAGACCCAAAAATTCCAATGAAGCCTGCGACATAGGAACTTGGTGCAGGCGCAGCGCTTCCAACCTACGATGATGTATACGCTGCTGCAACTGCAGAGCCATATCCCTCTCCGCAGGATTCAGATATTCCAGTCCAGGCTACAGAACGGGTACCTGAGGCTGGGGCTCTTCGATAGGTTGGATATGCGCGGGAGGCGGCCTAGACTGAACCACTTCCTCCTTAATCCGCGGTTGTTGCTGAGTGTCGTCGCGCCACCACGGCAGTTTGCCTTCTCGGGGTAAGATGGGCAGGGCTTTCGCGGGCTGGATGTCGTTTTCAACGGATTGCCAGCCTTCCATGTCGTCGGGCATGCCTTGATCGACACGGCGTCGTCGCTCCGTTGCGGCTTGTGCTTCCATGTAGTTCTCGAAGAGGAGTTCTTTGGCTTGCCATTCTTCCTGGCGGGTGTGTTCGAGCTCCTCGGCTTCGGCGCGTAGTTGTTCGCCTTCTTGCGTTGCCCAGAGGAGTTGGCGGCGCAGGAGTTGGAAGAGTTCGGGTGCGGGTCGCTGGAGCTCTTCGGGTGTGAATTCGATGTCGGGTGGGAACTGGACGAGCGGTGGGGCGGACGGGTTGGCGAGGTCTTGCAGGTAAATGACGTTGTTGTGGGCGTAGTCGGCGTCGGGTGCGGGTGCGGGTGCGTTGGACGGAATGGTCGCGCTGTTCGGAGGGTGCGAGTGTGAGGAGGGCGACCCGGGTGTTGAGCCTTTGTCGTGGGGCAGCTTCTTGGCTTCGTTGTTGAGGACGAGCTTGAGGCGCTGCTTGTTGTTTGTAGGATTGGAGGAGTGGTGCTTGGGGACGGGGTCCGAGGGGCGCAGAGCTTCGGTCTCGTGGACCGTTCTCATGTGCTTGGCTAAGGCGTCGGAGCGGGTGAAGGAACGGTCGCATTCTAGGAGAGTTAGTAAGGGTAATGCGATGCAGATGGTTTTGGCGACTTACCTGGAAGGGTACAGTAGAATGGCTTCTCCCTTGTATGTGAGCGCATATGAGCCCTAAGCGCATAGCCACTAGCATGGGGTATGCCTTTTCTTGTGCAGTCGCTCCACTCGCAACTATACTTCTTCTGCCGTGTACCGATATGGTCTTCATGAAGATGTTCGACGAGGTTATCCATGTTCTGCAGGTCACCCGCCGTGCAGCCGTCCCATTTGCAGACAGTGACCTGTTCCTGGCCGTAGTCGTCGTCTTGCGACATGCCCGGGTGGTGGTGAGGCGACGCGGGCACAGAGCCATCTGTATCTTCAGATAGCTCGTCCTCTTCCTCGGGCGGCATGGTATTGATATGGGGCGGTGAGGATGGCGCGCGGATATTCAGGCGTGGTCGCTTGTTGGGGCGCTGGTCGTGGTCAGGAGTGGCTTCGTAGCTGGCATGGCGGCCTCCCTTGATATCCTCGGGAAAATCGTCGCTGCCGTACTCAGAGAGTTCTGAAGGTGATTCCATGGCGG